TCCGTCACAATCTTCGTTTCTATCTTCTTTTTTTGAACAATTCGAAGAATGTAGTTGTGACCAGGGATTGCACTGAGACAGGGATATCGATTCGCTTGCACGAAGCTAATAACTCCATACAATGAAACTGCCGAGAAGTTTTGTTTAAGGTGTTCTTGATGATTTTTTTTTGCTCTCTTATCTGATGGAGTCAGTTAGCAACAACAGTTTCGAAACTGAACACCCTAACTACTGAATATGCAACAGCGCGATGGGCCTTCAAATTAGACAGCAAACTGAATTTAGAGCCTCGTTTTTGAAATTAACCTTCATCAAATTATTAGGATCCTCGGACAGGGAGGGTACAGCATCGTGATGTGTAAAATGGTGGTGTGGGTACGATCCACCTTCCCCTACGAGAGAGTGTGTCAGTACGACCTCCCCCCTCACCAATGAGGTACGATCCTCCCCCTTTCCCAAAACCTACCTGCCAGTTTCCCCACATTTTCCACTTTTTTACCCAAAGGACTTTCCATCGAGCGTGGGGAGGTGTAGAAACGAGAAATTTTTAATTTATCCCCAACTTCCTACCAGTTTTACCGATCTTCCCGAAAATCCTCCTACTTTCCCCTAAAAATTTTACTGTCGAGCGCAGGGCACATAATTGGTTGGGGATTTTGGTCGAGTTCATACGCCCCCCCCCTTTGGAGGTGGATCGATACGACCCCAACCCCTTCTAAGGTTTGTTATTTTTTTCGCCTTTTATTTGCATTTTCTTCCAACACCTACGTGGAAGAAAACCAGTGCCAAGCTAAAAATTCCCCCTGGCTTCTGAGCACCTTCCAGCACTGAACGTCACCCAGCCAAAGAATTTCTGTACGAGTGAAACTCCAAACATTCCGTAGGTTCACAAAACAGGATCCCAGCAAAATTGCTCCTCTGTTCACAGGAATTCAGTTTAGATGAACTACTGTGTTCTAATACATGTGTTATAAAAGCTAAAATGGAAAGCCATAAGGCCCCGATTTAAAACAAGTGAAAAGTAAAAATTT